TGTGCTGTATGGATTTTCATTGGTAAGCATTTGGGACTAGATGAGCTTCAGAAGCATCCTGTGCTATGGCTGTTGGTTTAAGTTGGAGTTTAGTTTCCCAAAACTTTTTGCCCTCAGTCTGGGTGAGGGAAGAGTGTTTCTTTCTTTACTCCTTTATTAAAGCTACTGCTTTCAATATGTACACATGACACACCAAAATATATCTTTCTTGACATAAAGCCATTTCACTCAGATTGCTTTTAGCTTTCACATTTGAAGTTATAACTTGAAAGTGCTTTGGTATAGATTGACATAATAGACAATGAGACATGAAAGGCAATCAGGTAAATAAGAAAATTCTTGCGTACTAATTTTTACAGTGCCTATTGTCATGGCAGCTTGGCAAGGGATTAGAAAGATTTAAATGTAAATTAGATCTGTCATTCTCAAAACTAAAATGAGTTAGTTATTCAAAATTGTAGGAGGGGAAAAAATAATAAAAGAAAAGGTGAAAGAGCCTTCTATGTTGCCTTTAAAAGCTTAGATCTGAGACCTGGAAGGCACTTAGTGCAAGCCACATTATAGGAGGCCTCCTGAGAAAGAGCTGTGCTGCCCATGGTAGGATTTCTTTTGCCTGCACAGAGAAGGCTACCCAGAGGTAGCCTTGCATACACAAATGTGTCAGAACAGGAAAAATCATAACTGCAGGAGTGTGATGTTGTGTCCAAACTAAAAGCTCTACAGGGGCAGCAGCAGCATAGCTGCTCTGCAGAACTGAGCATGGGACTGAAACCTGCCAGTTTGATCCATGTGGGCTTTTTGGCTTAGAAGGTACAGTGCAGAACTATCCCACAAAGAGTCCAGCTCAGGCCCTGAAAATAGTTCAGGCAAACCAAAAATGTTCTGTGCTGAATAAATACACTGCAGTTTTTCATTTTTCATGCTTAACCAGTTTCAAGATACAGGCTGGTGTCTTTGCATTTCATTGTACTGTGCTGATAAACTGCTTTACTTGGAAATAGGAAGAAACTCTTCTTTGGGCTCCATTACATGATACAGACGTACTCACAAAGTAGTCAAGTGCCACAGTGGACAGTGGGAATTTTCAGAGTGACTGGAGCTGCTGTAATTCAATGGAGGGCTCTGGTACATTCAGGAGATACTTCCACCTGGAAAGTTTAGAGACACACAGGACAGAAAATACTTTCTCAGATTAAAGGACAGTATGCTCCCAAGCTCCCTGGTTCTATTATATGCTTATCCTGCATCCTGAGGCAAGGCATGAGAGTACACTGATTTCCACATTTCTTCCCGAGTGCCCTGGTTTCTACAGTAGGGAAACCTGGTGGCAAAGACCAGAATGAAACCATGTGAATTCAGGCCCTATCCCCAACGTAGATGCTCAGAGAGTGAGACTTGAGAATGCCATAGTACATGCGTGTTGCTCAGATCCCATGCAGACCTCAGTCCTAGAAAAAGTAAGACTTACAGCTTCACTAGCACCTAAAGTGGATCCTTTGAGCAAAAGAGAACACAGGTGATAGTTGCTTATGATTGTTCACCTCTGCGGGCAGCTGAACCCTGTACCAGATGGGGGGCTGGGTGGAGTTAAGCCATAGTTCTCCAAAAAGCAGTTTGAATTCTTTAGGCTGGAGCTGACAAAGTACTGTGGAAAGTATCTAGGAAATCCTGACTGAAGAGGAAGAATCAGTAAATCGTGACAAAGGTATGTGACAAAGTTGTGTCTAAATGGGGAAAGCAAATCCCAGATGCACACAGGGCATGCTAAATGTACGTGGTGCTAACCAAAACTACCAGTGTGGCCTGAGCTCCCATAGCTTACCTGCAAGGGGTACGGCTCTGCTCGGCTCTGGTTGGGGGTGAGGGCAATGCACACCGGTGTCAAGAATCCTGGGAGTGAGTGAGGGGAGTCAGCCCCATATTGTGAAGGGCTGAAGGAAAAGAGCATCCTGAGGGATGTAAATTGGAGGACAGGCTCTGTCCCATGGACATAGTGAGTGAGCATACTATGGAGTAGGTCCTTCTGCCTATGTGATGTGGGGGTTAAGATGGGCACTTTGGAGAAATTAAGGTTGGAGGTGGTGGTGTCCCAGACTGATGGAATAGAGAAGGAGAAGAGGACGTCAGTGAAGGGTGGGCTTAGGAGAAGGGGATATGGTGTGTGCAGGGCAGGATCTGAAACATGTGACCGAGGCTCAGAGGACTGCTGCTGAAAAACAGGTTACAGGTGCCTTAATGCCTTGCTCCGCTGAGAAATGAAGTTCCAGGAAGGTGGGATTCATCTCAGTGGGATCAGACTGGCAGGAGAGCAGCAGATGTGTGGAGAGAAGGGAAGGGAGATACCACACCCTCAGCTCAGCCACCTGCTTCTCTGCACTCCACTGGGCGCCCTTAGCCTTGCAATCCATTCTGCTAAAATCACAGTGTTGAATTTTGCCACTGATTAATAATAGGATCAATTCCTCTATGCTTCATTCTTGAGGCAGCAGAATTCAATGATATAAACTGAGTGGTATTTGCATATCTTTACCAGCTTCTCTTCCCAAATGGGAAAACATCTCTTCTCTTACTAGCTGCCAGCTGTGACTTTATTTTTTCATCTTCTCCTGCTGCCCCACAATCCGCAGGAACACCTTCCAATTTGTGTTGTATCAAAGTGAAATCAGGAGCCACCCAACAGCCATACTCAGATTTGGAGGAGCACAGAAACATTTAGCACCAGGTTATTTGGTTGAATCTAACTCATTCAGTAGCAGCTGGAAATTGTTAGTGTCTGCTGACAGGCTGGCAGCTGTGGGGCGTGACACTGGTGGCTCTTCTCCAGTTGCTAATGGACAGATGTCCAGATTCTAAAAACACAAACAAAATTAACGCTTTTGCTGGCAGCCTCAGCAGGGGACACATTCAGTGGGCTGTGAGCCTGTTCTTAACACTGAGCAGTGCTGACAGAGAAGGCCGGGTACTGGAGTGAATAATTTTCAGACTGCCCCCCTGTTGGGCTTGCGCTGGTGATTGGGAACCTTCTATACCAGCAACAGCAAGTTCTTATTTTGAAAGAAGTAGTTAGATGATAGAAGCCAGCAGGGATGCTTCTGGATATCTGAGACAAATTAGTAGGTTAATGAGGTGTGAAGAATGGTTTGGTCATAGTTCTCTGCACCTCTTCTTTTTCTTTTGTTTCCTGCACCTCTGCAGACCCATTTCCATATCTCCTCAGGCTCCCTGACTTTATTCTATTCCACACCATCACTTTCACCAAGCACAGTAATGTTTCCTTCAAACGTTAAGATTTATTTCACTTCTTTATTTAATATTGCAACCAGCAAGAGCTGGCTTATTCTGGAAGGAAATTCCGATTTGACTAGGGAAGCGAATCCTAGAGCACAAACTGAGTGCTGAAGATGCTGGATGGGTTTCTGGCTCCGAGTCCTGTGGGGTGGATCCCGTACCAGAAAGATGCAGTGTTACAGGAGAGAAAACCTCTGCCACAGGTGAAGTGGAAAAGCCTATAGCATGGGTGGAAACAGCAATGGCTTTTGCTACCATCTCTCAACAGTATTTTGACCTACATAGTCTCATTTTTGTTTATCTTATTTTCCTGTTCTTGGGACACATAAAGATGGCTCCATATTTTCCATGAAGAAAGATAGTATTTTCTTTTACAAAAATAGCAGGTGGAAGAATTCAACCAAGACAAAACAAATTTTGGCATTAGTATTTAAAATTTCAAAGCTTTAATTTTTTCTAGACTTCTACCAATCAATATTGGTTTTAAATTTTTATGTAAAATAAGAGTAATGTACAGTAGTGTATTACCAAGGAATGATAATGTGAAAATATATATTTTGAAATATTCTATTCCATCCTCTTTCTTCATCATAGCAAACTGTTTTAGAGTATATTTTCTCATAATTTTAGAATACATTTATAAACTATTATTTTTAAACACTTTTTTTCTCATTTTTTTATTCTAAATTATTTTTTTAAATCATTTTGCTACAGCTGACCTTAAAAATAAATGAATATTTTGACTATTTTTTCATTTGGGGGATTTATCATTACTTAAAAAAAAAAAACAAACTTAGTAAAAATATTACACAAAGAAAACATGAAGTATGGCATTTAATATGACAAAAATGTTTCAATATTGAAATGAAAGTCTTTAGTCTGAAATCGATTCCAAAGACAAAATTGTTTTTATGCTGAGGGAGAAAATAAACAATTTTTTAAATTGTCATATTGCAAATATAACAAGGCATCCACAGCTCAAAACGGCTCTAACCCATGGTACTGCCTGCCATCCGGTTGCTGTGGGAAGCCCTCAACCCAAAGTGCTGCGTGAGCATAATCAGAGCTAGGAACTTAATGACAGACAGTGGAAGGTTGTTTAATTATCCTGATGTGGGTGTTAACATACTCTAGGACAGCATCCCCGAGGGATGCTTCAGTGGTCCGGCGAGTCCCTGTGTGAGGGTCAGAGGGTCAGAAGTGGTGCTCAGTTCAGAGATCTCCATGCGCAGCAGCCTCGGCATCTGCTCGCCAGGGGAGGATCTCCTCCTGCCATCTTGCTCCCCGCCCAGCGCGGATGCACCGCCTCGGGGTACTCTATGATCTGGCAACGCTGAACCCAGTTTTGCTCCCCCGTACCCCATTTCTGCATAGTCATGAAAACGACTTTCACCTCCAGTGGTCAAACCACTGCTGCATGAAAAAGCAAAATTAAGCCAAACTATAAAATATTTCTTACTTTAGAAAAAAAGAACTCTTTCAAAGCATTTTTTCGGTAGGCTATAAAACATGGTGTAAGATCTCTGACAGGTAATGTGTTGCTATACTACTTACTGCAATCAGCTGTGACAGGAGACACCTTTAATCAACTACCCTGTAATTATGCTAAGGTTTTCACCAAATGACAAATCCCAATTGGCCAGGCCAGAGCCCTGCCTTTCCAGACTAGCCTAATTATTTTGTCCACTCACCCGTTCATTCACTCCAGCAAGCTCTGACCTGTGGATTCAGGTAGGTGAGTATTTGCTGCTTATTTTTTTGTTGCTTAAATTTTTACTATTTTGAAATTTAAATCTGAGAGAGGGAAGGTAAATTTTGGTAGGACTTTCCAGAAAGATTGTCGGGAACCACGAGGTGCAACAACCACTGTTATGAACCATATGTGATACTATCACCTGTTTCCCTCTCAGCATTTTTTTGTTTTTCAATGCAGCTGATTCATTGAACTATTACACGCACAAAGGACTACTTATAAACTACAAATATATAGCTGTCATAAGTATTGAGTAAAATCTATGTCTCCATACCAACAAAATTGCTAAAACTATCTTACTCTAAATAAGGCTTAAGATTTTTAGGTTAAGTTATTAGTCTAGGAAATTTTTCTCAGGGGGGTGGGAATAGGTTTCATTTACAGGTAAGAGTAGGCTAATAGGGATTTTTGTTTCTTTAGGAGCCTACTGGAATAAGCTTATGCTTGGGGAAGTTTAATAAGAAATTATATGTCCCTAGTGAATGTTTTTAGTCAGGGGTGAAAGAAAAGGCACCTGAATGTTTTCAGCTTTTCAACTCAGGTAAATGATATGTTGCAGTGTAATAGTTATTTTTTTTATATGAAGCCACAGATGGGCAAGGCAATCCACAAAATATCCGAGGCAAGAGGTCTGAGTCAGAGTTGCTTATAAACAATTGAGCACATGCCAAGCAGTCCCTGCACAGGTGTGGGTTGGCATGGGTCTCTGCTGAAGCCTCCAAGGAGGACAAATCCGAGAGAGGGTGAGGATGTGGGCAGTGAGAGCCAGGCCTGAATGCCACACGCTGTCCAGGTCACAGCTCCCATGACAAGTGGTCCAAAGTCACTCTCTCAACACGTTAGATATTAAGGTCTCTTACCCTTAAAATTAGTAGACTTCATTGTCTCTCAACTTTGCCATTTAGTCAAAATTTGTGAGAGTTTGCAGGTAATTTCAGTTAGAAGACGGTATGGTGATGAGCCAGGTATCCCGGCTGTTTGTTTGCAAGGACTTCACCAGCTTTGCCTCCCTAGCAGTGGCACATCCAAACAAACAGAAATTGCTGTTTGCTCAGAGCTGCAAGCCTCTACTTTCAGCTCCCTCACTGTAAATCCTTTTCCTTAGGCTTTCTCCAAGGGTTATGCTAATGTACTTGCTCAGGCAGGTCCAACTTAGCTCCTTTCTTCTTTTCAGTTGAAACTGTTGATTCTTTGCATAACTGTTTCCCAAAACAGTGCTCGATAATGCTAATGTCTCCTTTATAAATCACCAGTGTTCTGCATAGCTTTGTACTCACCTTTGTTTTGAGACTTCGACATCTGCTTACCCATCTCTCTCACTTATCTCCAGGGATGGGTAGCAATTACACTGGCTCCTCGGTATTAGTAGGTTTATCAAAATAACAAAAGACTATGAGAATTGTGAAGTAACAGCAGGTGAAAAGCACACAGCAGGAAAGAGAAATTATTCTTAAGGGAAGGTTCACTTCTTTACTGCAGTTTCATATTTTCCTCAGATTGCATTTATTTATACACAATCATGTGTGAGAAAGGAATATGGAATGAATTACAGTCCCAGGGGAGGAAGTTTAAAAAGAGAGAGCATTCAGGTATAGCACAAGAGAACCTGAAACTGCATACCGTGAAGGCAGATGTTAGTATATAATCTGGTACTGAGATTAATAATACATATTTATTTCCAAGGATAATTCCTTTTGAGGACCTCCCCTACCTCCACCTCCTGTTGTTCTAGCTGTGAAGTGTTGCTACTGAAAATCCAGGAACAATTTCATCCATGCAGTTTTGGTTTACTCCAGGGGTCTATCTGCTTCCCTACTTTTAAACAGTAACATCACAATCATCTTTCTTGAAAGATTCTATATTTTCAAAAAAAAGAGGACATCATTTTGTGACTGAAACAGTTTTATGTTCAAAATTGGATGCTGTGTTAACGTTAATACTGCATTACTTCCAAGGATTAAGCAAAAGCATGTACTGTCTCTTCCACAGATGTTCTCCAGAGCAATCTCACCTCTTCCAAAGGCACAGCTACTTTTGTACAGTGTAGATGATTTTTTCATATTAATCCCTAGATTAAGGTAATGATTTGCTGGGGGGAAAAAATGTATTTTTTTAACACACATGTGAAGTGACATCTGCTTTGTCCAAAAATGTATTGCAATTACTTCTGTGCTTCGTGAAGGTATAGAAAGAAAGAATATTGTATATTTTTATGTTGACTTCAAACTTCTGGTTTTCAAAATAATATTCCTGTGGGAGATGATGATCATACATGTTTATTAATAGCATATTATAATCCTCCATTTTATGAGCTCCCTTTGATACTGTCTGTACACTTGTAGGCATAACACTGTCTTGTTTGGAAGAGCTCACTGAGAAGAACTAGTGAACTGCTTAGGAAGCCTGCCCCTGTACTGCAACTCCAAGTGCACAGTGATCTGCGCTACAGTTCTTTGTAAAAATTGCTGTCCAAAAGAGTTTAAAATGAAACTGGAATACAAGATACTGCTGAAAAAAAAAAAAAAAAAAACAAAACAAACAACATTGGGCATCTTAGGTGGAATTTGAAAGCACTGTCTTCATGAAACTATTCAAAGATTATTTCATTTGGGGTGATTATCTAGTCACTTGATGTTCCCAGTAGGGTTTGGATGTTCCCAATGGGGTTTGCACTAGATGACCTTTAAAGATCCCTCCCAACCCAAACCATTCTATGAAAATTTTATCTATAACTTTGTCAAATAGTCAGAAGAAATAACATGTTGAATATGCAGGGTGAACTGAAGAAAATTGGGGTTGTGTTGTTTTTTTTTTGTTTGTTTGTTTTTCCTTTTATTTTTTAAGGCTTCTAATTAAAATTATTCAAGTGGGCTCAGTGTAATACAGTGAAAAATATTTGACTAAAAACAAACCAAAGAAAAACACTAGCTGCTTTTAAAAATTGAGCCGTGATTTGCCCAATAATCTACAATAGGGTAGTAGTACTGTAGTGCAGAAATGTTTTCCAAATATACTTCCAGGTTAGTATGTGCTTTAATTAGCTGTACACTAATCAGTATTAGTGGTGGATATATGATTATATTTTTGTAATATTATATTGTCTAGTAATGCATATTTCTTGCTATAGAGAATATGTTTGGAGTTGTTTTGCCATAAAGCACTAGAGATTCTGCAGGCAGTGAACATTTTGCAGAATAACCATAGCAAGATGGAATACTCTGCAAAGTGACATGTGATGGACTCTTTATCTTGTCCCTGATGCCACTGCAATGGAAACTGTCATTACAGAATCTGTGTTCTGCCAAGCCTAATTATACACAATACAGCAAAGGAAATTTTCCAAATACTCTTGGAAAAGTGTTCAGACAGTTTATTTGGTTAACTTGCTAAAAAGCAAATTAGAACGTCAATAAACAGGCTGGTAGGATGCTAAGAATTTTTATAAAATTGAGAATTAGAACATGCAAGAGAAAAAAATGAGAATGAAGAGGATAGAGTTTTTCCTAACATTTGAAATTAGTCACGGAACATTGCAGTGTTCATCATAAGACTATGAAAAATAACTGGGACATATAGCAGACATTTAAATAATTGAACAGTAGTTTGACTAAATCTTTTATATACATGTTTTTAATGGGGGTTGTCTACAACCTGGATGCTCAGCTCCTGACCTTTACATCATTGCCATATTTTGATTTCTTCCACAGGCAACGGTCAGGAATGCCAGCACAGAAAGTTGTTTGGAGGTTTTCTCAGGCTTCAGGTCCCCATGCACTCATTGCCCTTTACTCAGAACTCAAGAATGGGAGTAAGCAATGATGAAAGAGATGGTTTGGCAGTTCTTGATGATAAGAACATCCACAGCACCGGGGTGTTGTTTGACAAGCATTTCTTAAATCAGACTTACTGGCTAAACTAGCCAGTTTTGCTGGTTCAAGTACTTAGTCATAAAAAACCACCTTCCTCTCTTTTCTTTTGGCTGAGGTATTTTTAACCTGAACAATTAATTATGTAGCCTCATAAACAGTTGCCCTAGCCCAATTGAGAGGATTATACTGAAGTAAGGGTGGAGTTTTAGAAACCCCTGTCAAAAAAAGCGCTTATCAAATTCCGACTTTACAGACAAGTGCAGCTTAATGCATTCATAACAACAAGACTACATTGCACTATGCAAAGACCATCCTTCATACTTGATGTCTGGTCAGATAAACTTGCCATCAGTTGTGCAACACAGATGATTCATACTTCCCGAGGTGGACCTTTCTGAGGAGCTTCCTGCTCCTCACAAGTGTTAATGTTACCCTCACAAGACGCGCGTGTGTTTGTGTTAATTGAGTATCATTGCCTTCTCTTTTAAAAATGCCAAAATGACCCAAGGGGGAATGCACTGTAACTACAAGGTTATTCTTCCCTTTCTTCTGTGGCTGTTTCATGACTCTGACACCTGATCATAATGAACAAACAGCCTCCAACCCAGCACATCCACTTCTAAAAAGAGAAGGGGGGTTTAAATACTAAGTTGAAGTTCCAGCAGCAATGTTGTTCCCTTCATCCAGAAGAAGGACACCTCCAGAACAGAATGAAAGAGAATGGGGCCATTTCTCACAACAGCACTACCTGGGGCACTCAAGGACAGGGCAGGAGGGATGTCAGACACATTAAGTATTTTCCAATGACCCATGAAGAATACAAATGTTGACCTCAGACAGTTCTTTCCTAGCATTGCGGGCTGCTTTGATCCTATTCTGAGAAACTAAGTCTATGGGTGGTATCAGTATTGCTGGTACCTTTTTTTTTTTTTTAAAAAAAAAAAAAAAAAGAGCTTTGGATTCTGCTTCAGGTTCCAAGTTTAAATATATTAACTCTTAAGTAAACATATCCTTACTCTGTTCCTTAGGAGTCTATTCTATTTCTCCTTAGAACTTAATCAGTGCTGATCTCTTCACAGAAGCTGGAGTTGAGCCTTTCACAAATTTATATTTTCATAGCCTTCAGATAAAGGAAGATACAAAGTAACTTGTCCCAAGAACTTATGAAGTTACACTGCCTAGTACCATATTTTGTCATTTTGTAATGCTGAGAGTTATTTTTTACACTAGTAAAATAACTAGTAACCAGTGTTTATATGGAAATTAAAGAGTAGGGACTAAATCCTCAATATTCTAATCCCAACTGCGTATTTGACCACATATCTTATACCACAGCTTTACACAGATTTAAAGACTTAAATGTACAGATTTAAAGAGTTAGATTCTTCTGCCTCATCAAGAAAAGCAGTTCTGCATGCAAATTTCTGTATCTATATTTTGCTCAGCACAGGGAAAAGACCAACCTATTTTCACATCAGTATTTTCTGTTATTATGTCTCTAATTAATAGGCAGTAACACACACACTGTTTGCAATGCAAGAAACAGTTAATGAACACTTGAAAACTGTGTCACCTGTAATCTAAAATGATAATTATATTGACGTTCTCAGGCTTAGAAGTGTTTTTACATGTTGTTGTTCAAACAGATACCACATCTTAGTAACACTCATCTTCTCCCTTAGAGGTCATGAAGAGTACCCTTGTTTTCCCTTAGTGTTCAAACTAAAACAGGGAAACTGTGAGGTTTTACGGACTTTTGCTTGAAATTTGAGAAGTGTGGTTAAGACTGTTAACATAATGTCAGATACTGGTTGTGCTTACTGGCTCAAGTTTACTTTTTAATATTAGTAGATCTGACCTGACTAAGTGATGTCTAATTATTTCAAGGCTAAACGTGGACTCTTACAACTAATTTTCATAAAAAAACCCAAAGCTGAATTCTTCTAACATTTAGTGGCACTTCTTGAATATAAGCCAAATGGCTTGGTCGATGATTCTTGATGGGACAAACCATCTGGTTGTGGTGCGTAATGTCTGTGTGAAGTTCAAGGGTATAAATAGTACTTCTCTCTCCTTTATTTTCTAACTGTCTTTGGCCAAATGATGCATTTTTTGTCAGGGTCACATGGTATAGACCAGATCTATGACCATGTAGCTATCAAAATACAGGGACACACTTGCATTTTCAAACGTGTGTTTCTGCAGTCCAGTTTATGCTGTAAAAAATTATGAAATAATTACACCAAGAAGATTCATATGATTTCCTCTAATGCTTAACCTTTACAAATGCCAAATTTGGGAAAATCTAAAACAGAAGCAATTTCCCTAGACTACGGGCATTTAAATCCATCAGTATGTACTTCCAGTCAGGTATCCCCGGAGCAATTAGTGTTAATATATTGTAAAGATATTGACTTTTTGACGAAGACAAGGGCAGCTTTATGACTAGGCTCACTTAGACCAACATTCAAGGAGACTGAAAAGAGTAACATTTATCAGAGCTGTCATCGTTAGGCTGGGCCAAAGGCAATCCTTTTAACTGGAAACTATCACATAAAATAATCTATTAATTTACACTCAGCACAGTACATTACAGCAAGATTTGGAGGAGAACCCAACAATCAGTTAAATCACACTTTGCAAGATTAGCCAATAATAAATGAGTTCTAGCTAAACCAGTAAATATGGTATTCAAAGCAATGCTTTCCTCTTTTTTTCTACATCAAATCATCCTATAACTGAAATCCACTTATAAAAAAAGCCTACAGGAACAAAGAATAAAATTTGTGTCCTGTAGTTCTCTGACTTTGGTGGGGGCAAGAAATCTTTCAAAACCAGAGCCAGAGGCAGAGTTAAAGCTGAAGTATTTCTACAACTCCTTTCTGAGGTGATCGCACTTTGTTATGACAAAACCAACCACATAAAGGATCACTGTCCTGGCAAATGCCAGTGTACCTCAGCTCTTTATGTGTGGTAATTTTATTTAATTTTAATAATAATAATTTTCCCCCAGAACTTCTGTATGGAATTCTTTTAGTTTGTCCTGGAAGTCTCAGTCAGTACCATCTTGGGAAATACCACTTTGGATAACGTAGGAGCCATCAAGGGGAGATGCTCTGTTGGACCTCATAGTTACAAACACGGAAGGTGAAGGTTGGGGGCAGTCTTGGCTGCAGTGACTATGAGATAGTGGAGTTCAGGATTCTAAA